TTTTTTTTTACCAAAGCTTTTGTTACAGCTTTGAAACTGCTCTTGAAACAGCACTAAATCAAGACCTTTACACTTGAGACTCTCAAAGGGTTTCCACAAGCCATCCATCCAGATTCCCCAAAAGTTAACATTTGACCACATCTGTTTATCACCACCTCTCTACGTATATGAATAGATGTGTGTGTGCGTGCACGCATATATATATATATATATATATATATATATATATATATATTTTATATATTTTTCCCCCCTGAAATGTTTGACAGGAAGTGCAGACATGATATTCCTTTACCTGTAAATTACTTCAGTGTGTATTTCCCTAAAATAAGACATTTTCTTAAATAACCCCAGGACAATGATCAAAAGCAGGGAATTAATACTTATATATACTATTATCTAAACTAAGGGTCTTTACAAATTTCAGCAACTGCCTCATTAATATTTTTCATTAATAAATTAATATAATTTTTTAAATTAAAAACGTTTTTTTTCTGGTCCATGATTCAATCCATAATCAGACATTATATCAGCTGGTAAATGTCTCTTTAGTTTCCATTAGTCTGACACAGTTACTCATATTTCTTTGGTTTCCATGACCTCGATGTTTTTGGAGCATATAGGCGGGCTATTTTGGAGAACAAGCCTCAGTTTGGATTTATCTGATGTTTGCTCAGAATTAGATCCAAGTTGTGCATTATTAGCAGGAACCCCCAGAGGTGGTCTTGTGTCCTTCTGAATGTATCACATCACAAGGCACAGGATGTTTGTCCCCTGACTGGTGACGTTGGATCGCTCTTTGCAAATGGTGCCTCTTACGTTTCTTCACTGTAAACATACTGTTTTGCCCTCTGTGATTAATACAAGCCTGTGGGGAGGTTTTTTTTTCTTCAATTACAGTTGGCATTCAATATTCTATGAGTTTCAAGTTGTACAGCATAGTGATTAGACATTTATGTAACTTACAAAGTGATCCCCCCATATAGTAGATACTTTGAGACTATGAAAATATTCTGTTTATCATTATACTTTCACTCACAAGTTTTAACATCAATTGATAATTATTGTTGAAAACAATTATTATGGTTGGCAATTAATGACACTCTCATACCCTCATTCTTTTAAATTTGTTACAATACTACTGTAATGAAGTTTCCTGTCTTGCTTCATTCATTCATATTAACATAGGCTCACAATTTCCTATTTTATTTGAATGGGTTATATGCTGTTAACGTCATTATTTACTTTGGTTCTAAAACTGTCCCATATTTTGCCAGTGGTGGCCCCTTTGCTGGCGCCCCTGTCCTTTTGACATGTCTCCATTATTCTTTGAGCACATTTTTCCTATGTGGCAAATTTTTTATCCAGATTCATGTTGTAATTTCCCTGCTTCAGTCATGGAATTAGCCATTTCTTCATGGGGCCTTTATTTTTTAGTGGAAAATGGTACTTAGAAACCAAATTCTGGGCTCTGGGTGCTTCTTGTTCCTGGGATGTAACAGTCACCCTCAGAGAACAGACCTAGAAAATACATGGACACTCATCCAAATCTATATCCACAACTAGCTGTCTATACTGATTCCATATCATTCTATTTTTATGTGTCTCTTTCCGTGTATCCATTTAAAATCATACACCAAGTCCAACGCGACATCACCGCTTTATTCTAGCCTCCTTGTCTTTCATATTGGTGACTCCCTTTCTTACACCAAGTAGCCTGCTTCTCATCCACAGCATATTTACTTATTTGCACAATCCTAAATTATACATAAAATAGTAGCAATACTGCTAAATTTTACCCAGGTGAAAGACAAAATAATGAGCTGGAGCTTGATATTTATTTAGAGTTCTTATTATTTTTACCACTGTGCCTCACGTTACTTATTTTTTCTCCACTCTGGTGTGGTTATGTCATTTCTTTGAACTACATTTTAGTATTTCGAGCTTTTTAGCCCAGACTTGTTGAGTTTATTTACACTTTGCGTATATGGTACATTAGCGGGTTCTAAAAACCAAAGCTATGAAAAGCTATACCGTTAGATGTGTCCCTTCCACATCCTGTCTACCTGTTGCCCACCCATTCCCATCACCCCTGTAGGTAGCAAATCACATGAACGTTTGGTTCATCCTTCCTGTCTGATTATTTTTTTGTACATATGTGCAGATATTCTTTTCTTTGTTCCTTTGTTTCTTATACAAAAGGCAGCGTGCTGTGTTAGTCTCGTAAGGCTGCGGTAACAATGTATAATACTACAAACTGAGTATGGCTTGAACAACAGAAATTTATTGTCTCACAGTTCTTGAGACAGATGTCGGAGGGCAAAGTGTTGGAAGGGCCATGCTCCCTTCAGAGGCATCAGCGAAGGGTCTGATTCAGGCGCCTCTCCCAGTTTGTGGCAGCATAACTCCAGTCTTCACTTGGTGTGCCCCCTGCGTGTGTGTCTGTCCAAATTTCCCCTTGTGGTTCCAGTTCCAACCAACACCATCATTAGCTTGGACTAGTCAGGTAACCTCCCTTGAACCTAATTACTAATGTGTATTATTCTGTCCACAAAAGAAATTCCAAACCTAAAGAAGAATTTAACGAGTTTATTTAAGACAAGATTTAGAGGCCAGTTCCAGAAGCAAAATCTCAAAGGATTGAGGAAATGCTCCAAGGAATAGCAGTTTTGCAGTTTATTTTATACCTTAGACTTGAAGGAGAAGACAGAGGAAGGTTACATGAAATTCACTGGAGGCAGATTAAGGAGGTGGGTTAAAGTAAAGTGGGGGAATCTGTAGGATTGGATAAAAAGTAAAATGGAGAGATACACGTTTCTTTTATGTAAGTGGGTGCAGGATAGTTAACATTTAACATACACAGTTTACAGAAGCATGCAGGGAAAAGATAACAATGAGGAATATTGGGGTCATCTTGCCCCAATATTGGAAGGTGTTTATCTCTCTGGAGGTCTGGAGAAGAGATTATTCTGACATTGACATGCTATCCTGGATGTACGAACACAATGGACAGGGCTTGCTCAAGGTTAAGATTAATCTACCATATAGTGTACACCCTAGGACGTGACTTCCCATTATGACGTGTTCGGTCAGGATTTTTTTTATGATTAAAACATCCTGTGTTGTTACTTTCAGCTATCGAGCTTGTCAGGCTTGTCAAAGTCACTCCTTTTTTGTTCATAATTAAAAAGAAACAACAGGCCCAAAATGGAGTCACTTGTGCTAAACCTCAGGTCAGCAAACCGAGACTGAATACCTAACCTAAATGCAGTTTCAACCTTCCGCAGGAGTGTATATCTTAACCCGCCAATCTGGAATTTCCTAGTCAGCACCAATGAGGTAAGCCTCCTAATAGTCCCTATTGGCCTCCAAAGGAAGGTGACCTTGCCTGAGATCATCTTTTTTTTTTTTTTCTTAAAATTTAGAATTTCCTTGTCCCGCCCGCTCTATGCCTTTAAAAACCTTTCTGTAGACCCCTCAAGTGCTTTTCTACTTGCTAGCTAGATGGGATGCTGCCTAATTCATGAATCCTTCAATAAAGTCAATTAGATCTTCAAAATTTACTTGGTTAAATATTTGTTGCTTAACAGTATAAATAGGATAGTTCTATTTGCATATTTCTACTTATAATATTTATAATTACACTTTCTATGTAATAGGGCAGTTGTGAGAATCAAATGATACAAAGTGTAAAATCAGAGAAAGCTTTCTTAATTGCAAGCGCGAGTTCGGGGAGGCAGAGGAGGCGTTTCCTGTTAGTGCCTGGTTTACCCTAATAAATACCTCTAAAAAAATAGGATTTTAATAAGCACCTAGGAGAAAAAAAAATACGTAAGTGCTTTGTAAATGGTAACACACTCACCTAATAGATAGGATTAACTTCGATAAGACCTTTAAAACCCGTAATAGGTGCTCAATTTGTGTTAGTGACTTTACTATTTTACTATTAAGGCCCATTGATGGGAAAATGAAGCTCAGAGATTTAGTAACTCATCAGTATCTCACAGCGAATAGTGGATATGAAATGTTTGGAAACAAGTCTCCAAACCAGATCCAGTCTGATTTTGAAACGGAGCCTGTATTTCTAGGTTGAGTCCCTGTAACTCTTTAAGCTGGTGTTTTTCATGAATTTTTCAATGGAGTATCTTCTACACGATAGACCACAAAGATGGCACTGAAATCATTGGAAATGAAAGTTTTTACACATTTGGTTCATTCTTTAACATACGGCATGGATCCTTCAACTGATTCTCCGTTTCAGGGAAATTAAAGCGAGAACTTGAATCAGCAAACACCTTCCTTGTCCCGTCATCCCCGCTGAGGAGCACCCCGCAGACGCATGCGCACAGCCTCGGGACAGGACCTGCGCATGCGCCCCGGCGCGGCGTGGGCGGGGCTCTGCGGGCGCGAGGTTTGAAGGTTGGGAAGCGGAGTGGCGGGAGAGCGGCTCCCGAGCGCAGGGCTCGTCCGGTCCGGCCGAGTGTCGTCCGCTCCGGGATTTGCGAGCTGCAGAGTTTAAGACGCCACCAGGCGAGGGGGTCCCCCAACTGTAGCACAGGTCCGGGGTCCCCCGCCGCGGGGTCTGAGACCCAGCGTCTTCGTTGCCCCCCGCCCAGCTCAGGCGTCCTGAGTCCCGTCTTCCGAGCGGTTACCCCGCGCGCTGACGACTGGGCGGCGCTCGGGGGCGAGATTCTGAGCAGTTATTTACGCTGAGGCCCCAGCGGGCCGGCGAGCCCCGTGCCCAGGTGCGGCGCCGGGAGGCTCGGTCTCCTGGCGGACAGAAGAGTTTGGCTCGGAGGTGATGGGACGCCCGTCCTCGTAGCGAGAGGACGGAGGGAAAGCCGTGCCGAGCCACACGCTGACCCGCCGTCTAGACGCGAGGCAGGTCCGGGTCGGCGGAGGAGGTGCCCCTCTTTCCCCAGACGCCGAAGGGGCTTACGCATTTTCTCTCTTTTTCAGTTCCCCTCCGGCAGCTTAGAAAACTCGGAAGGACGGATCTTCGCGGAGCCGGAGGGGAGCGGCGCGCGCCCGCCCTGCGCATGCGCGGTGTGGCCGCTGGCCCCGCGGAGTCCGGCTTCGCGGCGTGCGGCGCTTGCGGATCCGCCCGCCCCGTATGGCGGCCCCGGGGACGCCGGGGGATCCGGTTCTGAAAGGTGAGGCGTGGTGCTGCTTCCCGGAGAGCGGGTGGGGGCGGGCGGGAGGCCCGGGCTGGTGGGGGCTCGCGGGAAGGGCACCGGCCCCCCGGAAGCCCGCCCGGCTCCGCGTGGCGGGTGGGGGCCGAGCCCGAGGCCGGGGCCCGACCGCCCCACCGGGGCTGGGCAGGCGGAGAACCGGGTTGGCGGCCTGCTCTCTCCCCGGGCCCCGCGCCTTCGCTTGGACAGCGGGATTTGGGGGCGTGGGGCAGCTCACGCGCCCCTGTCGGGCCTGCGGGGACGGCACTCGGGGCTGGAGCAGCACCGGCTTCACGGGGACGGCCCCGCCACGCTGTCTCTCTTCCCCTTACAGGTGGGGGTGACGCACGGAGGTGCAGGCGCTTCTGCCCCGCAGGTCGCCGGGCGCCTGCGCGGTGTATGCTCCCGGGGTCCCCGCGCAGGTCCCCAAGTCCCAGGCTGGCGGGAGAGGGGAGCGGGCGCGGGGCGGCCTGGGGCACCGTGCTTCCGGGGCGCCGTACAGGCAAAGGTGGAGGCCGACAGTCGCGAGCCAGAGGTGGCGGCCTTTCCCACGCGAGGATCTGGTTGCACTCGCCTGCCTTTGCTTTGGAGGGCGCGCCTGGAAAGCCTTTCAGGGCGTCGGGTTTTGGTGAAAAGCCGTCCGCCGGAGCGGGTCTCAGGCTGCGCCCTCCCCTCCCCGCCTGCTGCCTGGTGGTGTAGGGTCTGCAGGCGCAGACTGTTTTCCACCTTTTTGAAATGGTTGGGAGAAAAACGGAAAACACCTGAAGAAGAAATGACCGATGGAAGTGATGTGAAATTCAGACCTCATTGTCCATGAAGTTCTCTTGGAACACAGCGAGGCCCCTCAGTCACTTCACGCCTTGGGCTGATTTGTCTGTGGCCACGAGGTTGGTGGGTGGCATGGCTCTCAAAGCCTAAAGCGTTTACTGCCTGGCCCTTGACAGCAAACACTGGAAAAGTGGAGCCCGGCTTAGGGATTTGGGAGGAGCATCTAGTCTTAAGAATGTGCACTGTGACATGCATATGAGTAAAGCTGCTGTTTGCTTGAAATTGTAAGAACCGTAATAGCACGAATTTTGTTTTGAATAGGCTTGTAATAGGAGAAATTTTACATTTATTTTTAAGTGTAACTAGAACAAGAGAAAAATCTACGGAAATCCGATCAGGCGAGGGATGCCGGAATTTCTAATGTGTTTAATGCTAATATCGTCTTTATTTTCAGATGTAGTGGCTTATGTTGAGGTGTGGTCAGCCAATGGAACAGAAAATTATTCAAAGACATTTACAAACCAACTTGCAGATATGGGGGCAAAGGTAAGAAATGCATTTTCCCGTTGCTACATATGATAGTCTTCTGGTACGTGAGATGTATTTGCATTTCTTACTTTGGGAGTTATTAATCAGAACATGAATGAAAAAGAAGGTAAGTGGCAGGGAAAAAATAGAACCATGGTATGAAGAATTTAGAGCAGGAGGATTTACAGAACAGTTGGTCTTGAGGTTCTGGGAGAGAGAGAACTCCAGGATGAAAACATGGACCTGCCTTTGTTTACTTGGGTTCGTGATGCTGTTGAACACAGCGAGGGATACAGGGAGCTGAACAGGCGTTTCAGAGAGAGGTGTGAATGGGGCCTATTGGAAAAAGCTGGGGGACATTTGGGTCTACACATCTGGAGCTTGAGGCACTCAAGGCTAGAAACAAGGGTTTAGGGGCTAAAAGCCTCGAAGTCAGGTGAGGCCACTGATGCGCTAACAACTCAGGTGTTTAGAATGAAAAGTGCTGAAGGTGGAGCCCATTTGGTATTTCAAGGGCTGGTCACAGGAGCAGTGGAGCCAGGGACAAAGAGAAGAAAGCCAGGAGAATCCAGAAAACAGGTCTGGAAGTCAAAGGAGGGATGGACTTCAGTGATAGGACTTGAAAACACTGCAGGCTCTTCAGACAGCTGAGACTGGCACGCACACTCGAGGCTCGAGTGGAGTGCAGTTGCGGTGAACTGGCTGGAGGGGACGAAGTTGATCCAGCAGCTGTGGACCACAGCTGTGAATGCTGTAGTTGCCGGGGGCCAGGGGAGGATGGCTGATAGGCTGGGTGAAGGCAGAGGTTAAAGTGGGCGAGCAGCTCCCTGAAGCCAGGCCCAGGGATTAGGGGGAGGCCAGAGAGGCGCCCCGGCCTGAAACCTCAGACGGCATCCGCCCTCCCTCCGGCAAGAGGGAGCCAAGCGTGCGTGCCTGAATCCCGTAGCACCGTAGGTCCTACCCTGACGGGAGGGACAGAGCAGACAGACGGGGTGGAGAGAAGTCACAGTGCAGGGGCAGGGCTTGTTTCCTTCTTCCTGAGACAGTGGAAGGCAGGTACCCGAGGGAGTTTCCCTCAGGTGAGGCCTGCTTACCTGCCTGCTACACGCTTGGGTTAGACGTGTTGCTGTGGCTGAGAAAAAGCCATGGGACCCAAGAGTTGACAAAATGGCGTTTGAGGGTGGTATTGAGATCTTAGACCTCTTGGATCTTCTTGTTTTTCACCTTTTATTTAGAAAGTTGGGAGAAGAGCACTATAGTGAACACAAATCCAACAATTGTTAGCATCTTAACATACTTGCCTGGCCTTCATCTCTAAGCAGTCTGCATCTCTGTACCCATATTTATATGGGTATGTGTACTTGTTTCCTGAACTATTTGAAAGTAAGTTGCAGATATCATAATTTGCCCCTAAATATATTTAGTACACATCCTCTAAGAACAAGGATATTTTCCTGTGTAACGAAAAGACCGTGGTCACGTGACAAAATGAACTGATTGCCTAACAGTTTTCTGCAGCGGTCGAGTTCAGTCTGTGCTTTTGCCAGCATATCAAAACTTCATGGCTGTACATGCTTGGTTTTGTCAACCTTACAGCCATTCCGATGTGTTTCTGGTGGGCAGGAATTTTAAATATACCGTTCATAATAGCATGATAATGACCACAGAAAATTATGAAACATTATTGGAATAAATTTACTAAACTAAAGTCAACAAAGGCATATATCATATTCATCGGTTGGGAGATTCAATTTTGTAAAAATGTCAGTTCTCTCTATACTGATCTCTTGTTATCAGTCCAATCCCAATGAAAATCCCCAAAAAGCTTTATGTTGTAAATTGACAAACTGATTCTAAAATGTATTTGGAAAGGTAAAGGCTAAGAATGGCCAAAACACTTTGAAGAACAAAGGAGAACACTTAGGAAAACTTATTATAAATAGCAACTAAGGCAGGGTGGTTTGTCACGAGAGTAGACTGCATGGATACTGAAACACGCAGTTACCTCGCGGATGACAGAAGTATTATCCTGGAGCTTGGTTAAAGGACCGACTTCAATAAATGGTGTTGAGCAAAATGAATATTCACATGGAAAAAAATGAAACTATTTTATACCATATATGAAAATCAATTCCAGATTTACTGTAAATCTAATTGTGAAAGGCAAAATGATAAAACTTCCTGTGTCCAGAAAACTTAACCAAACTCGTTTATGAATTCTGTGGTATTTGGGATTTAAAAAATGTGCACAACTGAATCATACGTGCACGGGACAGTTTTGTCTTTTCTGATCCTAACCTTTCATTTCTTTTTCTCAATGTCCTTCTCTGGCTAGGGCCAGTTGAATAGAATGGAGACATCAGATATCTTTGTCTAGTTTCTCTTCTCAAGGAAAGCTTTTAGCATTTCCCCTAATGCAGATTTGTACCAGCTTTGAAATCCTAATTTACTAAGAGTTTCCTCATGAGTAACTTTTTAATTAGATTAAATGTGTTTTATGCATGTATTAAGATGATCGTATGATTTTTTTCTTTTACTCTGTTAATGTAATGAACAATAATTATTGATTGTTAATAATGTTAACCAACTTTGCAGTCCTGAATAAACTCAAGTGGTGGGGATATGTTGTTATCCTTTTTATAGGTTGATAACAGATTGCTAATATTTTGTTGCTGATTTTGCAGATGTCTCCATGAGTTGGCACTGGCTTATACTTTATGAAATTGTGCAAATTGTAATAATTTACATTTTGATTTCTGCACTTTACAGGTTTCAAAAAGTAACAAACAAGTAGCTCATGTCACTTTAAGAAACTGTGCGCAAATTGTAATAATTTATATTTTGTTTTCTGCATTTTATCTGCAGGTTTCAAAAACTTTTAACAAGCGAGTGACTCATGTGGTGTTTAAAGACGGGTACCAGAGCACCTGGGACAAAGCACGGAAGAGAGGCGTAAAGCTAGTTTCAGTGCTCTGGGTTGAAAAGTGAGTCGTTGCTCTCATTTTTTTTCCTTAAGTATCTGGCATTGGTAAAGTGTGGCAGTATGTATTGCATGGATTACAGCACCAGATAAAATTTGGTTTCATCTTTTTCTGCCTCTTATCTGGGCAAGTCATTCAACTTCCTCAAGCCTCAGTTCCCGCAGCTGAAAGATGGACAGGGGATCATCCCTGACCTGCCCAAAGGGGAATGCGCACCAGGCTCTGAGACACTGAGGCTTGGTGAATCCAGGAGACAGTAAGGATGCAAACGGGGTGAAGCCGATTGGTTAGTCTGGTGGAGCCCCATAACAGGACCAGAGCCTAGGGGCTTACAGACGTTTGCTCTCCCTTTCTGGAAGTCCAGGTGCAGGTGTGTACAGCGTGGTTTCTTCTGAGGCCTCGCTCCTTGGCTTGCAGATGGCTGGCTGGCCTATCTCTGTGTCTTCATCTGGTCTCTGAGTGTGTCTGTGTCCTAATCTCTTCTCACCAGGACACCAGTCATGTTGGAGTAAGGCACCCATGTGACCTCATTTAACCATCATTGTCTCTGTAAAGGCCCTGTTTCCAAACATAGTCATGTTTTGAGGCTCTGGAGGTTTATGAATTTTGGGGAGACACAGCTGAACCCATGGCAAGAGTGTTCATGGGGCAGCTGGGAGGAGATTGAGGTCAGAGAAGTAGTGGGGATGGGGTGCAGGGTCCTGTGGGGTGTGAGGCAGAAGGAAGCGTGTGGGAATAGGGAGGGGCTGAGAAGGCACGTGCTGGACATTACTTGCACCAGGCGGCTGGGAAGAGCATCCGGTTCAGAATACAGGTTTGAAGGGAGCGCTGGTGAGATTTCCTGAGGATTTGGGTGCGAGTTTATAGAGGGGGGCAGTCAAGGATGGTGTGAAGTTTTTGGCCGGAGGAACTGGAAATACGGTTTTCCATATACTGAGCTGGGGAAGGCTCAAAAGGAGCAGGTGTGGGGAAAGGAGTTCCATTTGGGGTGTTAGGCACCCGTGTGGAGGTGTCAGGTAGGCGGTTGGATGCATGCCGGAGCTCCTGGGAGAGGCTGGAGAGAACCTGGGAGTCCTCGGTTTGCACGTGTTATTTAAAGCCACGAGCCTGGATGTGCCCTCCTAGAGAGCACAAGTACAGGGAGGAGGGCCCAGGATGGGGCGCTGCGCTGTCGGGGGCTGACGAGGAACCCCAGTGAGGGTGGGGTTCTAGAAGTCAGCTAAGAAAGCTAGGGGGAGAGGTGATTGTGATCACCTGTGGCAAGGAGGTTGCGTAAAGGCAGGTCTGAGGGGCTAGCACTGAAATTAGCGGTGTGGGGCCTCGGGGGTCTTGACTTTGGGGGGTTAGTGGGAGCAAGAAAGTTGGGGTTGTAGAAGCCTGATGAGGGCTGGAGAGCTGGGGGGGGGTACCTGGTGGGGGGTGCGGAGTGGAGAAGGGGTTTGCGACGGGAGAGCTGCCAGCATCCGCCCGTACATGACGGACTGGTCTAGCAGAGGGAAATAAATGTGTATGATGCAGAGGCAGCAGGAGAAATTTGCTCATGCGGGCGCTGGGTGGAGCTGTGGGAACGGTCTCCAGCGGACGTCGTGCGTTCTGCAGGACGTGTCGGTTACCCTGTATGTGCTATGCGATCAAGGACGGGGCAGTCCGTGTGGACAGCAGGGGATGCAGGGTGTACAGGGACAGGCGCTGCGGAGTACAGGTGGCCTCAGGCTTTGTGGGAATTCTCGGACTGTGTCTGCTTTCTTATGAGAGGAGGCAAGGTCATCATCTGGGGATGGGAGTGGGAACAAGGCTGACGAAGTTTGAAGAGACGCATGAAATCCTTGCCTAGGAACGGGGCCGAGTCCATGGGTCTGGGAAATGTACTAGAATTACGGCTGGGCAGGGCTGACAGCTCGCTTGAGGATGGTGGTTGGAGGTTGAGGCTCGTCGTTTCTCCAGCAGCCCACACTCAGGAGGGAGGCAGTGTTGGATTTAACCAGGCCTGGGTTTTGCCAGGCAACCAAGGGAGTTGGCGGGAAATGCAAAGCAGGGAGAGCCAAGGACCATAACACCTTAACGGTGGACCATGGACTCCAGGAGGGAAGGCTGTCCGGTTAACGGACAGCAGATCTCAGCTGGGTCGAGGTATTGTTGGGGTTTTACAAGAATTTGTTTGGAAAGATGGATGTGGTCGGAGAGTGTGATGCTTGAGATGGAGATGACGGGGCATGCTGAGAACTGCGCCAAATCCACGGTCCCTGCTCTCTCCACAGGACCCCCTTCCTTTGGGGGCACGTAGCCTTGACGTAGTTCTGGATTCAACAGACAACAACAGGACAGCCTAGGCGCTCTGGGGAGGCTAGAACGGGTGACACAGCACCTCAGTGACCTAGCTGAGGAGGGCAAATAACCCCCCTGGAAGGAGCGGGGGGCCACTGTGACCCCAGCTCAGGGCCTTCTACTGTGTAGCACCGCCCAGGGGAAATTCACTGTGACGGCTCCAGTGGCTGTGTCTTGTTATTCATTTATTTAATTAACAGAGTTTCTTAAAGCAGTTTCATGCATCATTGTCAGCCAAAGCCCGTGCCTTATATGCATTTGCTTTTGTCTTTCATGTAAATTTACTCTAGCTCTCTAAAAGAGCAGTGTGGCTCTGACATCTGCATTTCAGGGATCCGTCCATTCTCCAGAGGTATTTGTCATGTGTCACAACCCAAGACAGTTCTAAAGTGGCTGCTATCAAATTTCCTACCTTGGACAGTCAGATAAGGGGACCGAGCAGGGACAAGACCATGAGTTCTGATTGAGTGTTTTTAGTGAGAATGTAAAAAAAGTTAAACGTTTTCTTCCTGTGTTGTAGGTAATAGGATATTATTATTCCTCTGTGGCTTTAGGGGGTGGGTCTTCAGTGGGTGTGGCCTCTATATGTGATTCATTTGGGAACAGCAGTCATAAGAAGCTAAATTACAAAGTAAGAAGGAAAGAACTGTTTCATCTGAAGATGAAGTTTCCCTTTTTCCCTTGTTTTAAATTTCCACGTGAAAATGCTTCCCAGAAGTCTGTCTTGGATGTGCAGGGTGGCCCGAGGACCCCAGCACGACCCTCAGCGGTTTCCCTCCTGCACAGATCCGCTCTGTGCAGTGCTGCCTGGCCTCCAGCCTCCCTGGGCAGGACCAGTGCTTCATCTTGCATGGCACCGGCAGTTGTGAAAACTCCAGTCTCACTCTCCACCCTTTTGTGTAAAATAAGAGGTCCTTCGTTTGGGGCTTGTCGAGTGTTTCCCGTGATTAGGTTCAGAATGTTCCATGAGGGAGGCGTGGCCTACCCACAGGCCACGTGCTCATCTGCCTCTTCCTGGTGCTGCAAATTTCAACCACCTGGTAAGGCGGTGGCCGATGTTTCCACTGCACAATTGCTGTTTGTTTCCCTTGAAACTAAGCCAGCTGTGGGGCGAAATCCTGCCCCTCATCACACCTCTGTGTCTCTGCCTGCCCCCAGGTGTAGCGTCCATGGATGGTTCTTGCCGGAACCAGCCTTACCGTTGATTCCTACAGAGCGGTTCTTTTCCCAGCCCAGCGCCTCCTCCTCTCCCAGGAGTGCCCAGCTGTGCTGAAAAGAGCGTCCCTTGTGATTACCGACCGATCGACGGATTAGTATCCACTCATGGACTCCTGTGTTCTCCGGTGGCTCATAATCCATTACGACGAGCTGTTAAGGATTGGTGTTGATTGTTCTTCAAGCATTTGTTAGAATTTACCAGTGAAGCCATCTAGCCCTGGGCTTGCTTCTGTGGAAAGGTTTTACTAGTTGAATTAGTTGATTACTAATTCAATCTCTCGTTAATAGATCTGTTCACATTTTATATTTGTTGTTGAGCCACTTTGAATAGTTTGCGTCTTTCTAGGATTTGTCCGTTTCGTATAGGTTATCTAATTTGTTGTCCTACATTTGTTTGTAGTATTCTGTTATCTCTTTTCTTCAGTAAGGTCGGTAACTCATTCTTGATTTTAGTAATTTTTTTGTCAGTCTAGCTAAAGACTTGTCAATTTTATTGATCTTTTCAAATAACCCACTTATGATTTTATTGAATTTTCTCTATCTTTTAAAATTCTTTATTCCTACTCTTCATTATCTTTTTCCTTCTGCTTGCTTTAGGGTCAGTTTGTTCTTTCTCTAATTTCTTTAGGTATAAGATTAGATGATTGATTTGAAACCTTTGCTCTTTTTAAATATGTGTTTGCAGTTATAAATTTCCTTGTAAGCACTGCTTTAGCTGCATCTCATACACTTTGATATGTTGTTTTTGTTTTCATTTATTTCAAAGTATTTTCCTATTTTTCAATTTCTTCTTTAACCCACTGGTTATTTCAGAGGTTCTTGTTTAATGTCTACGTATTGTGAGTTTTCCAAACTTCATTCTGTTTTTGTTATCTCATTTTATTCTGCTGTGGTCAGAGAACGTGTTTTTTATTATTTCAATCCTTTTAAAGTAATTGAGGCATGTTTTATGCCCTGACGTTTGGTCTGCCCCAGAGATTCTTGCATGTGCACTTGAATTCTGTGGTTGTAGAAGGAACGTTCATGCATACATTTCGGTTAAGTCTACAGTAGCTGGCTCAGACATTTTTGTTTTTAAGTTTTCTGTTTCCTTCTTGATCTGCTGAGTTCTGTCAATTATTGGGGGAGGGAGGGGTATTAAAGTCTCCAAATTTTATTGTTAAATTGTTTATTTCTCCCTCCAGTTCTGTTTGTTTAGCATTTCTTTTGATAAGATGACAACAGATTTCCTTAGTTTTTCTTTGTCTGAAAATGTCCTTGTGAAGAACATTTTCAGTGGATATGCAGTACCAGGTGGATGGTTGTTTTTATCCAGCCTCTTAAAGAAATTTTCCCACAGTCCTCTGTCCTCTGGTATCTCATGGGAAGCCCGGACTGTTCAGATTTTTCTCCGTTGTAAGTAATGTGCCTTTGTCTTCTTTCAAGTTTTTCTCCTTATCTTTGGTTTTCAGATGTTTTAA